TCCGATTTATATATATATATATATATATATATTATTACAAATAATAATATAGAATTATGCTACAAATAATAACAAATTTTAATTAATTAGTTAATAATAATAATAATTTATTATTGTATTTTTATGATATACCTATTAATTAATAATTGATTATAAATTAATTAAATATTTGATGTTTTGTTGGTGAATAATGTTTTTAAAAATCTTGAAAATTTATGCAAGCTGACAGTGAAAAATTATTTAATTTTTCACGAATCATCGATACGAGTCTTTCTAAGTATCTAAATTCAAAAGATTTTTTGTAATTCATGCAAAAACGCGACTGCACTCTACACGGAAAGAAAGTTATTATATTAGTTATTATATTAGAAGTATTAAACTTTAATAAAAATTATACTATATTTAGTAAAGTTATATCAAATATCGAAAACTTTTTACAAATTTTAATATAACTTTACTAAATTTTATATAGGTACGTTTTGTTAAAGTTTCACAGTAAAAAGAAAGTCTTATTTTAAAGCAGGAAATCAGCCTTAAATTAAGATACAACATTTTTTTATCCTTTAACATTATAGCAGACAGTGCTGAATTTAAGACCGATCTTAAATTAAGATTTACTGTGTTAGTTTTGTTGATAGCAAAATTTTCCTTTGTCGTATTTTGTCCTACACTTGTAAAATACTTTTATAAAATTTAATAATATCTTTCCGTGCAGTGAAAATAAACACGAGTTTATAGTGAAAAAACAGTTATATTAAATCTTTGTAACAGTGTTCTAGAACACTGTAGAAACAATGTTACTTTAAAATTCTATAACTAATTTAGAACAAATGTTACATGTCTGTTATAGAACAGATACAGAACAACTGTTCCAGAACAAATTTAGAACAAAGCTCTAGAACTATTCTTTAATAAAATTGTAACACTTATTCTAGAACACTGTTCTTTTTTTGGTCTAGAACAGTTATAGTACGTGCACACTGGGATTATTACGCTAATAAAAAAATTTAATTAAAAAATTAACAGAACCTCTTATTACAACATTAAATAAAGGAACTAGCGCACACACTCATTTATAAATTTTTAATTATTTATCTCTTGTAGCTGCTCTCGAAAAAACAAGAAAAATTAAATTTTTTTGGTCGTAAACAATATTATTGTCCTCACAATGCGTAGAAAAATCTTAGATTATAATCAGGTCCATAAATTATATCATGGTTTATCAATATATCATACCACAAAATTATAGATTCGTCCAGTATACCATCTCTGAGAAATGCAGGGTGGCCAACTTAGGCCCACGGCCAACTTAGGACCACGCTCCCCTATGTATATATTTTGAAAATATTTACACTATAAATAGAATTTGAATTTGAATCAGTGATATTCTCTGATTCAAAAAATCCAAAAACTAAAATAATCCACCGTGGACTTTTCGAGAAAAGTGAGTTTGGATATTTTTACATTTGAAATTTTGAAAAAGTTCATATATGGACGTCCGCATGAAAAGGGACCACTTTGGCACTATTGGACTTATCTATATAGTCAATTTCCTTGTTAAATTTGGAAAATTTTAGTACATCGTAACTCCAATTTGGTACAAAAATCGCTTAGTTATAGAATTTTAAAGTTCAAAATGTCAAAAACCTCATTTCGAGAAAATCAAAATCAAAGATTGTAATGCGAATATCTCTGGTTCTTCTGGAAAGTTCTTCAGATGAGAGTTGTTTTAAGTTTAGTACACCCTAAACAGCATGTGACTCTTAGAAAATCAATGGTAATTTTTTCGACCGCTTTTCTCTTTAAATATTTAATAAATTAAGCTGAAATTTTGTAAGAAATTCTAAAATATAATAAGGAAGGGCAGTGATGTGCAAAAGTTTTAATAATTTGAAAATAAATTATTATAATTTAAAACTTTTTGATTTTTCATCTAAAGCGTGTACTATATACTTAAAACATCTCTCATCTAAAGAACTTCCCAGAAGAACCAGAGAAATTCGCATTACAATTTTTAATTTCGCTTTTTTCTCGTCTTTCTTAGAAATTAAAATTTCGTTATTTCCTAAAATTATCCACAATAGGGTCCGTTAAAAATTTTTTTATTTCTACTTTCTGGTTTTTTGCTTCGAATAACTTATTAAAATAACATTCAACCATTAACTCCACAAATAATCAGGTTTATTAATTAAAAAACGCAATTTTAGAAAAAGGATCACTTTGTCGGATGTCCGTTATTTCTTCATTGTTTCAAAATGAAGGGGGGGGTATTTAAAACCAAGAATAATTTTTCATCTTAAAGGTGTACTAAACTTAAAACAACTCTCATCTGAAGAACTTTCCAGAAGAACCAGAGATATTCGCATTACAATCTTTGATTTTGATTTTCTCGAAATGAGGTTTTTGACATTTTGAACTTTAAAATTCTATAACTAAGCGATTTTTGTACCAAATTGGAGTTACAATGTACTAAAATTTTCCAAATTTAACAAGGAAATTGACTATATAGATAAGTCCAATAGTGCCAAAGTGGTCCCTTTTCATGCGGACGTCCATATATGAACTTTTTCAAAATTTCAAATGTAAAAATATCCAAACTCACTTTTCTCGAAAAGTCCACGGTGGATTATTTTAGTTTTTGGATTTTTTGAATCAGGGAATATCACTGATTCAAATTCAAATTCTATTTATAGTGTAAATATTTTCAAAATATATACATATGTAGTGCGTGGTTTTCTTGTTTTTTCGAGAGCAGCTACAAGAGATAAATAATTAAAAATTTCTAAATGAGTGTGTGCGCTAGTTCCTTTATTTAATGTTGTAATAAGAGGTTCTGTTGATTTTTTAATTAAATTTTTTTTATTAGCGTAATAATTTGAAACTTGTAAAAATCTTCAGTGGTCCTAAGTTGGCCACCTATTGTTTCTTTTTTGTGTTTTTCATCACGAGAAAGACCGTAAAAGTGTAACGTAGGAATTAAACAAAGACTCTAGAAGGTACCTATAGGTACCTTCTTTTTACATCTGAAATAACCTTTTTATATGGTTAAATCAAAAATCCAGAGACAGTGGCATTTTGCCTATATAAACCGTGGAGACTCTTTTCTTCTATATAGGACTATGTTATATAAGACCCTGAACAATTGTCCGGATGTATGTATATGTGTATGTGTGTATCCCGATTTTTGTAAACACGATAACTTGAAGAGGTTTTAACGGATTTGGCTAAAATTTACCAGGTTTATTTATCATAAAAATATCTCGAAATGGATTGATAGACTTTAAAAAATTCTCAAAAAAATTTTTTTTTTTACTTTTTTCTAAATTTTTTTTTAAGTTGGTTATTGAAGTTAATATATAATAAAATCATATTCTTTGCATCAAGACGCATCGATTGGTATATATAAAGAATATATTGTATTTAAATTTATAGAATTAAAACCAATTATAGACAAAAAATTTGCACTTTTAATAAAAATTCATTTTTTCTTAAAAATCATGTTGCTGTACAATAAAATGTTATTATTTATTGAAAAATAAATCAAAAATCTTATTCTTTGCATCAAGACGAATCGATTGATGTATATAAAGTATATATTCTTTTGAAAATTATAGAATTAATTACAATTAAACTTGAAAAATACACTTTTTTACTAAAAATTTTTTTGTATATTTAAATTTATATTACTGTATAAAAAAATTTTACTCTTTCTATTAAGACGAATGAACTTTATTTTATAAATGTTAAATTGTATTAAAAATGATTTAAAAATGAAATATATTTATCGTTAATGCTTCCTCCACGAGAAAGCAAATTTTTTTTGCTGATCGTAAAGAGGAAGCAAAATGTTCATGTAATGAACATCTGGATTTACAACTTGTTTAAACTGTCTTATTTATGTTTATAATACATTTAAATTTCTTTTTAAACGTTTAAGTATTTTCCGAAAAAACGAGTTTAAATTTAGATTTTTTTTCAAAAAATCGTTTTTTTAAAAAACTATATTTGTCAAAAATCTGGAAAAAATATATATTAAAGAGGAAACTCTAAGGAATTTTTAAAAACAAAAATTAGTGGTCTAACTTTAATACACAGTAAAGAACTTTTTTTGAAAATTTCAAATTAATGTTTTTGAAATTTTTTTAAATTTTGAAATATTTTTTCTAAAGTGTCTTATTTTTAGGACTAGAAATGATTCTATCACTCCGAGTTTTATTAATGTTTACAACATATATAAATTTCATTTAAAATGGTTAAGTAGTTTCCGAAAAAAATAAATTTTTGGTTTCTTTTAAAAAAATCGTTTTTTTAAAAAACTATATTTGTCAAAAATCTGGAAAAAATATATATTAAAGAGGAAACTCTACGGTATTTTTAAAAAAAAATTGGAGGTATATCATTAAAAAAAATCAAAAAAATTTTATTGAAAATTTTTAAATTACTCATATAAAACGAGCATGTAATCCCCGGTTTCTCGGTGCGTTTTCGAGACGTAAAGTATGCCTTTACTATAGCCAGCAGCTTTACCGTCCTAGGCCAAGAAAGAAGTTTTTACCGTCCGCTGCGCATGCGCAGCGGATAGTAAAGTTGCTACTTGAAGCAAATCCATACTTTGCCTCTCAAAAACACACTGAGTGACCGGGGATTACATTTTCGTTTTGTATAAAATGTCGTATGAACCTCGGACGAGAAACTTGCGCTTTGCGTCCTCGGTGCATAATGTACTATCTTTGAAAGTTTTTTTTTAAATTGTCTTATCTATATTTATAACATATTTAAATTCCATTCAAATCGGTTAAGTACTTTCCAAAAAAATGAGTTTTTTATTTTTCTTCCCCTTTCTCCTAAACGAAGTTTTAAAAAAATCGGCCTAATACGCGATTTTTATTTAAGTTAAAATCAGTTCTGTAGGTAGTGTAAAAACGTTTTATGCAAAAATTGGAAAGGGCGTGTGTCAAAAGTATTAAAAAGGTTTCAAGACCACCGTGATCCTATTCCAGCTTGGAGAACACACTTTAAAGTCCCAGGGTGTCACACACCCAGTGGGGTTTGAGGATGGATTCGTAAGTATGCGCTTTAAGGGTTAAAATTCAATTTCATACAATTTCACATGTAAAAATACATTGTGTCACGTTTAGTAGAGACCCTCCCCCCTCCCCCCAAAAACGTGACATCATTTATGAACGCTCCCTTTGTGTTTTTTTATCTTTTAAACAATTGCTCTTATCGATTTGTAAAGCTTTAAATTTTGCTTTTGTTGGTTAAATTTGCCCCTCTTTAGCACTTTTGCCTTATTTTCCCCTAAATTTTTAGTAAAACCAGTCAATATCATAGGTTTTAACTTGCCCAAAATGTTAATTACTATCCTAAAGTGCTAAACAACTATAAAATGCTATATCTGTCATAATATATTAACTAGCGACATTGTCCTCGCTCGCTAATGCTCGCTTGGATTTTAAGTTGACCTTTATAATGTACATTTAATTTATACTTTATTAAATATTTTATTTTTAATTACAATTAATTAAATTGATTGAATTAATTATAAATTATTGTTATTATTATAAAATTTTTTTTTAAATATTATTATTATTATTATGAAAGTTTTTAGAGCCAAAAATTTTGTTTGGAAATATTACAATGTAAAACAAACATTAATTTAATTTTTATAATTCTTAAATTCAAAAATTTTTATTGGTTCAAATGTTTAAATGTTTTTTGTAGCGCATTTGAAAAAATCTTTTTTATCAGAAAAAAGTATTAAAATACATTTTCTTTGTTTGCAGACAAGTGAAATATTTTGATTTTCTTAAAATAAAAATAGGTTTTTTATATGGGAGAAAAATAACTAAATTTTCTATTGTTTAGATAATGTTACTTTTTTTATGTCAAAATTAAACATTTCCAAATAATTATTTTCTATAAACTCTCGTTCGGTTGTATTTCAACTTATTTGTTTTTAATTTATTTGATTTAAGTAAATATTTATTTGATATAAATATTTTAATTTGTAGTATCAAATAAATAGTTATTTGTAGCAAATTCGAATTACTTAAGTCAAATGAATGGAATAATTGGATCTAATAAAATATTGCTTTAAATCAATTAGGAAAATTACTTGATTCAGTAATGTATGGATTTTAATTCAAATAAATATTTATTTGCATTAATAAAATAATTTTTTTTAAATAAGTAAATATTTATTCCCAGGCGGAAAAGTCGGACGAATACCGGATCGTCCAACCGTCTAGAATCCGCGCCGGCAGTCTGTACCGATTCGGATGTTAAGTGTCTGCTGGCGCGGTACAAAGTCGGATCCGATTTTCGGTACAGTCTTTCTACTGTCGGCAGTACAAGCGCGGTACAGGATTTGATTCGATCGCCGGATCAAAATTTATAGCAACTACACGGAGAGAAAAATCAAGCGTTTGTAAAATGGAGACTTCCTATGGTAATTTTGTATGAACGCCCTGCTTAAGAGGCGTGTCCTTATACCTCAGTTGCATGAAACATATACTAAAATAGCATGGATCTCTTGCAATCGTAGTATACTGACGTCCCATGCGTTAAAGGTAGAACTTTTATGCTGATAACGTAGAAATTGATAAAAATACAGCAGAAATTTTACGCCTATTGCGCATGTCCATTCTTTTACGAAATAACCCACAAAGCACAGACATTTTCTGCAAGTTTTCCATGCAAATTTCGCAAGTTTGCAGTAAACTTGCATAAATATAAAAATGTCTCCTACTTGGCAAGTTTGCAGCAAACTTGCGCCAAATAGCAAAAACTTAAATGTATGCGCAGTAGTTTACTATGACATCTAGAGCTGCGCACTATATTTTAGTCACCTTCCCTACAGGGAAGGCATCGTTCATCAAAATATATGCAATTTGAAAAGAAACTTTTTTTAAAAATTTTTTAGGTATTTTAGAAAGTTTGCTGCAAATTTTCCTCAAGTTTTCATTGCAAACTTGCCAAGAGGGTGACATTTTTATTTGTATGCAAGTTTGCTGCAAACTTGGATGCAAACTTGCGAACTTTGCATGGAAAACTTGCAGCAAACTTGCAGAAAAATACTGTGCTTTGTGGGTTCTGGTGTAAGCGATTGCTGCCGCGTGTCGCTGGATTCCCCCACTCCGCCCACCTAAGGAAGGTAAAATCTCGAACACACATTTACCTCTATTTTAAACAACTAAATAGTGCAGTATGGGTTCCATAATTTTTTTGGTAATAGTGTAGTTAAAAATCTTTATATTTTTAATCGTGACATTTTATTTATTAACATTTTAAAATTTTTTTAAACAAATATAAAGATTTTTAACTACACTATCACCAAAAAAATTATGGAATCTATACTGCACTATTTAGTTGTTTAAAATAGAGGTAAATGTGTGTGCGAGATTTTACCTTCCTTAGGTGGGCGGAGTGGGGGAATCCAGCGACACGCGGCAACAATCGCTCACACCAGAATTGATACCAACTTTTCAAATTCGGAAAAGTTGCTCTAACTTTTAAACCAATTAAACGATTTTGCTCTTTCTTTTTTACATTAGGATACATTTTTGTCAGAATTTTCAATCTATTATCTATTTATTAAAAAAATCAATAATTCTATACAAAAATCACATTTTTAGTTTTTCTTTTTTTTATTTGTATAAAAAATTTAATTTAAAATAAATTATATTCGTTCAAAAGTTTATATAAACATTTTTCAAAAATTAAACGTTTAGTGCAATAGCGCGGAATCGGCGAAATCGCATAGGAACCGCGCTTTTTATCGTTGTCTGCCTCGATGTTATCATCCGAATTTTTGTCTGCCAATTGACATATAGCTTCCCAGTAAAAAAAGAAGTATTGAGTGGAGCGTTTAGGAATTGAGTGAAGCTCTGAGCCAATACGGATTTGAGTAAAAACCGTATTGGGACGTCTGACTCAATCTTTTTTTCATCCGCCGAATACGGTCTTATTTTAGCATTAAAATTAAAATCACAAGATTATAAATTACAAGCACAATTGTCCTGGAATGTAAAAATGCCGATTTCGATAAGAAGCAGTGAATATTTTTTAAAAATTGGTAAAAGCAAAGTTTGATAAGCGCGACTGAATTTACCATGTGAATAAATGAAGTGGTAAGTTTAAATGGACGAAATGGACTGAAAGAAATCTACTGTTACCGACAGAAAGTTCCTAGAGAATTGTGGTAAATTCAACAAAACAATGAAATTTCATTGTTTAACAATTCTCTAGGAACTTTCTGTCGGTAACAGTAGATTTCTTTTCGTCCATTTAAACTTACCAATTCATTTATTCACATGGTAAATTTAGTCGCGCTTGTCAAACTTTGCTTTTACCAATTTTTAACAAATATTCACTGTTTCTTATCGAAATCGGCATTTTTACATTCCAGGACAATTGTGCTTTCAATTTATAATGTGTACTCTGGTCATGTGATTTTAATTTTAATGCTAAAATAAGACAGTATTCGGCGGATAAAAAAAAGATTGAGTCAAACGTCCCAATACGGTTTTTACTCGAATCCGTATTGGCTCAGAGCTTCACTCAATTCCTAAACGCTCCACTCAATACTTCTTTTTTTACTGGGTTCCATAAGAGTTCATTAACTATTTCCATTAATTTTTAGCTATGACTCTTATCATATTTTTTCACTACATATAACGCAACTTTGACACTGTCTGTCAATCCTTTGTCGTCCAGAAAATTGTCTGCCAAAATTTTACAAGCTTACTGGTAATAAATACTTTTAAATTTTATAACTTTTATCCATGACCTTTATCATATTCTTTCCTTATCAAATTTATCATTTTCGACCGTCAGTTCGCAGGCTTAATCGTTCAGAACGCGCAGGCAGACTTCGCATTCGGTACTCGGGGACTCAGGCTGGAGTCCCATGGCAGCATTTTGCGTTGCGTTTTGTAACTAGGCCATGAGTGTGAGAGAGATGAAGATATATGTTTGCTATATTTGCACTCATGTCCTAGTTACAAAACGCAACGCAAAACGGTGCCATGGGACTTCAGCCTGATGCTGGTTCCACATATACAAAACGCGCGCGTATCGCGTAGACGCGTAAGGCTTGCGTATGCGTATAGTAGTAGACTATGCGCATACGCAAGCCTTACGCGTCTACGCGATACGCGCGCGTTTTGAATATGTGGAACCAGCATGAGGCCGCAGTCCCATGGCAGCGTTTTGCGTTGCGTTGTAATGAGAGAGAATGCAGCAAACGTATATTTGCGTCTTTTTCTCTCCCATTACGACGCAACGCAAAACGCTGTCATGGGACTCCACCCTGAGGGTGGAGTCCCATGGCAGCGTTTTGCGTTGCGTTTTGTAACTAGGCAATGAGTGTGAGAAAGATGGAGATATATGTTTGCTATATTTGCACTCATGGCCTAGTTACAAAACGCAACGCAAAACGCTGCCATGGGACTTCACCCTGAGGGTGGAGTCCCATGGCAGCGTTTTGCGTTGCGTTTTGTAACTAGGCAATGAGTGTGAGAAAGATGGAGATATATGTTTGCTATATTTGCACTCATGGCCTAGTTACAAAACGCAACGCAAAACGCTGCCATGGGACTTCACCCTCAAATGGAACCTATCTAAATATTAATCTTTCATGTACCTTATAACATGCATTTTTATGTAGCCAGCTCTTAGACTATAAGCTAGCGTATACGTATTATATTTATAGTAGAGTCTACATTGGATGAACGCGAACGTTGACGTGCTGACGTCACCCATTTGAATAACATTGTGACGTCATACGTTCGCGTACACGTTCACGTTCGCGTACAATGGAATGTGTTCTCTACTTAAGTAGAGTCTACATTCCATGGTACGCGAACGTGAACGTGTACGCGAACGTCTGACGTCACCCATGCTATTCAAATGGGTGACGTCAGCACGGCAACGTTCGCGTTCATCCAATGTAGACTCTACTTTAAGGCCTTTCTCCAATAGGTTTTAAAAAGTGTGCGAATGACTGCGTCTGCGTCGGTTGCTATAGCAACACATGAGCACCTGGATCGTAGAAGGGCAC